TATTGTATTGAGTGGGGATAATGAAAAGTTGGAGAGAATTAATATCGACTGTTACATCAAGTATTTGGTTCATTTTACAATCTGATAATAATTGTCCACAGAAGTCAGTTATCAGATAAACAAAGTCAAATTATGCCAATGTATGTAAGTCGCATGATTGGCGATTACACGAGGACTGTCACCATTTACAAAATAACTATTAATATTACGAGTCATAACTTTGACTGAAGATCATATGGCCAGTCGGAAAGGATTAGCAATAAAAAAAGTCTGGAAACGAACCAGTCACTCCACAAATGCTCCGAACAAAATGGAGATGAAATGGACACACACTCATCCAACAGTTGTATGGCAACGCTGCATGCCAAGTAATCCACAACGGGAAGCTCACGGAATCCTTCGAAGTGAAGATAGGAGTAAGACAGGGTTGCCTACTATCGCCAATGATTTTCCTGATTGCAGTAGATTAGATAATGCAACAGACAGCGGGCAATCAGGAAACAGGCATAAAATGGACCCACACAAAAAACTTGGAGGATCTGGACTTCGCCGATGATATATGTCTGATTTCCCACAAACTGGAAGATATGCAAGTGAAAAGAAACAAGTTGGCAGAAGAAGTATCAAAGATAGGAGGGACTTCAGGTGAACATAGAGAAAACAGAGGTGATGAAGATTCCTGGGCAACACCACCAACAGCAACAACAACAACAGACAACAATCAGCCGGCATAAATGGGAAGAATCTGAATGAAGCAACCTCCTTTACCTACCTGGGAAGCATCGTCTCAACTGCAGGCTGACAGAACTGATGAGGATATCAAAGCAAGAATCGGAAAAGCAAGGCAAGCTTTCATTACTCTCAAGTCTGTGTGGAGGTCAATAGTATTCAGCGTCAAAAATAAGATCCGGATTTTCAACTCCAATGTGAAGTCAGTACTACTATACGGATCAGAGACTTGGCGTGTCACAAAGAGCACCTCAAACAAGCTACAGACCTTCATTAACAGATGTCTTCGTTCAATACTCAAGATCAGATGGCCGGAAAGGATCAGCAACAAAGATCTCTGGGAGCGAACCAACCAGGAACCGATTGTGAAACAAATAGGCAGGAAGAAATGGAGATGGATTGGCCATACTCTCAGGAAACCATCAAGTGACATCACTAGACAAGTCATTGCACGAGTGGAACCCGAAAGGGAAGCGGTGAGTTGGTCGTCAATGCGAGGGTGACTTGGAGGAGGTCATGTGAAGAGGAGATGAAAACGTATGGGCAGACTTGGAGCCAGGTGAAAACTCTAGCAGAGAACCGAACGCAATGGAGACGCATGGCTGAAGCCCTATGTTCCTCTAGGAACTAAAGGAAATAATAATAATAATAATGAGAAGAACGTTCGGTGACATCAAGCGCCAGGCAAACTTTCGAGTGGAATCAGAATACTAAATAACATATAGCAGATCGTATGAGCACGAGATGAGAGCGTATGGGTAATTATAGTCAGCTAAGAAGAACTGCAGTTCTGTTCGGAACCCACTGGAATAATAATAAATAACTTTGACTTTCATAAGGCCAATAAAACAAGCAAACAGACTGGAGTTACAACTCCACATTATTTAAATCTCCTTCCAGCTTATTTCAGCAGAACAATATGCAGAAATTTCATTTTAGCATGGTGATGAAACGTCCATTGTTAAAATACGAAATCTTTAGGGTTTTCAAACAATCACAGCTACAAATCTTCTGTTTCATTTCAAAGACTTTAGTGCATGTATATTCACACAATTCAACAACATATCATCTAGCATTGTGTATTGATTGATCTGCTACACATTAAACGCCTTGGACTTTATCAGAAAGAGAAGACAGAAAATATACGCCTGCTGTTGCTGTTGTTATGCCTTTTTAATTCTACTCTTTTATTTCATGTGTTTTTCTCAGCTATTACTGGGCATGCTGTTTTCTTCAAGGTATTAAAAAGATTTTATGTTTGTTTATTCATAATTTCTTTTTGTTTTTATTTTTATGTGAATGGTGTTTCCTAAAGAACAGTAAATTTTTTTTAGAAAATCACTTTTAGTATTTGCACTGTGACTGACTGTATAACATATATGTTTCTAAGCTGGTGAAATACATAAGAACAAAATTGTTTGTCCAATTTCTAGTTCACTTATAACCTTTTAGGTTTGAATGATTAAGCACCATTCCGCTTAACGTCAACTTTCAATATTAAGCTTGACTAATTAATATGCACGTAGATAGAAATAATAAAAATGTAAAATTTGAAATGTTACGTCATTTTTAAGTATTGGTTTGACTGGTTAGAGGGTTTCATCATGAGCTGGCATCGGTTAGAGAACCATTGGGAAACCTGCATGAAGTACTGGACAGCTGTTTCATCCTAGTTTGGGACTCTTCACCAGTACGCACCTCCCACAGGGGTTCGAAGCCAGGACCTCCTGGTTACAAGACTAGCGAGCTCATTGACCATTAAGCCGCTGGGATCAGATCCAATGGCCAGCCCATGAATTCTACCTTCTTTGAATCCATGACATAGTGCGATCACTTTGGGATGTCTTCTTCGATGAGGTACTGCCTCACCTTCAACCTGCTGCACCCTACTGGTCACGGCTTCCCACTAGAACCCCAGGTTAACTGCTTGAATAGGGCCAGTCACTAGTGAGCATCAGATTAACTTTCAAGTAATGGTTTTGTAGGGATTTGATTTGATTGGTTGGAGGATTTCATCAGCTAGGGTTGGATCGGGTCCCAGTGGCTTAATAGTCTACGAGTTCGCCTTGTAGTCTCAGCGGGTGCAAACTGGTGAAGAGTCCCAAACTAGGACGAAGCAACTGTCCAGTACTGTCAGGTTTTCCAACGGTTCTCTAACTGATGTCAGCTCATGATGAAATCCTCCAGCACATCATTTCTTATGAAACTCAGTGGTAGGGCCGAAAATCGTGAGTTTACAGAAGTTAGAATTGATGATCCAATAGTTTCCGTCCTAGTTGTTGAATAGTCTATGAGCTTTCCTTGTTATCCATTCTCTGTGAGATCACGAGTGAATACTGATGAAGAATCCCAGACTAGGACGAAACAGTTGTCTGGTACTCCATTGTTTTCAATTGTTCTTTATTATTATTATTATTATTATTATTATTATTATTATTATCTGATATCAATCTTTGATCAAACGTCAAGTAAATTGAATCCTTAGAATTTAACACTTGAAACCTAATTCCTTCCTGTTTTCACACTATGACTATGTACGAAACGCTAAAGCGAAAGGTACATATCATCATCATCATCTCATCATACATGTGTATTAAGGACAATCCTTTACATAATACTGTAAACATTTTTGCCCATATTTTCTTATTAAATAACAAACAAAGTTTCTCATACTGAAATGACTTATTATTATTCTAGATCTTGGTTATTAAATTTTCGATCAGGTATATAAGAGTCGGTTAATTTGTATCATCACATTGTTTCATGACAAAGAAAGCATTTGGAACAATTTATAAGACTGAAAAAAAGTTATTGGTTCAATGGCTGGCTGGCTGGATTCAACATAGAACTTGGCACCGAAGTGCAGCAGTTCGAGTTGCCACGTTCCAAATAGCACACAAAGGTAGACAAGAAGATGAGTGAAGAGAATCAATAGAGTTTTGACAAGTATAAGAGTGAAACAGAATGAGTAATGGTAGAAAGGAATATGAAAGATTACAGAGACTGAATACATCTGCGTAAGCCATTGACAACGATTTTGAGCCATGTCACCTATTGTCTCCAGCCATTGATTCTTAGAGTCCCAAGGCCCCAACCCCGAAGTCTGCACCTCCCTACATGACTCAGTTTAACTGTCAAGGATTTCATGGATTGATGCCATGTTTTTGTTTGGCCACCACTTACTCTTTTCCAACCTGCACCTATATCAGCTAGTAATGCCCGTCGGGGGAGGCGATGGTTAGGCATGTGCAGCACGTGACCTAGCCATCTCAATCTATGTAACTTTATAGCCTCTTCGATTGATTTCCCCTCTTTGCCCAACACATTGGTTCAATGGTAGGATACTCGCCAGCCATAAGGGAAGTCCACATTCGATTCTCAGCCGACGCACTCCTAAATCTTGCCTAGTTCACTAGACGGTAGTATGCCTTGAGAAGTGGCAAGGTTCGGTGTGAGTCTAGCAACCTCATCACCCCATAAAAACAACGCCACGTCTACTGAAACTTCAAGAAGAAGACCTTCAAGAAAAAAATTACAAAATTCACTTAGCAACAGAGCGATTTTCGCATTCAACGGGATATGTTTAAAGGTGAAAAGAAAATATGGATCACTGCAGGATTCAAACAAGTGATTTTCAGATTCATACCACGGGAAGTGACAATATTTTCCAGGCCTTTATCAGTGTATAAGACATCGTTCACAAAAGTTCAGTGCTTGGTCTAGATGTTATGCATACTGGCAATCATCACTAAGGTATATCTGCAGTTTTGAGGCGTTTCATGTCTTCTCAGAGATTCACATTTACGTCATGCAGTGCACCCACCGTCTTATCCCATTCATCTCAGTAGTTATGCTGAAGATATACTACACTGATTAATTTTTCTGATTCGCATCAGTATTCATTCAAAAACGGATTCGCTAACAACATCCATCGTTATTTTGTGATATCTGAGTGTCTTAGATACATATCTCCAAAGGAATAAGGATTACTTCAAGAATTTTTTTAAAGAATCCTTACTGATAACAGTTGACAAGTAAGAAATTAGCTTGAATAGGACTTCCATCTCCTCCTCCTTACACCAAATGATCAATTTTTATCAGGATTTAGAATAAATTCATAAAAGGCATAAATCACAGTAATGATAAAATCTTAGCAATCTGATTTTCTCATCTTATTGAATAAAATCCAGTGATTTATGCATAAACAACGGGAATACCAATCATTTTTTTAATTTATTTTAATGTTTATAAATGTATGTGAAAAAACCTACCCATCTATTTTATCAATAAATTGTTGTACATTTTCGGTATCTTCTTCCTGTAACAGTAATAAACAAAGTCAATAAGACAAATAATGTTCGAATTTTTATATTGCAGTAAACAAGACTAATACAAATATTGTATGGAATTAAATGGCATATGTTTTTGTTTATGTTTATTTGCATGCTGGATGAAAATGCTCGATCTCTGTTGATATATCAGCTCCTCTTCGAACATATTTGGAGACGAACATGATGTTGTTTATACTAATCACTATTAATCACAAGAACTGCATGTGTTTTTCTTAAAACTATTGGTGACTAGTATCTTAGAGCAAGAAATACATTCCAGCTAATGATACTTGCTTGTTATGCAGAAAATACAAACAACTTCTCCATCTGTAATACGAGTAAATATTCACCAGATGCCTTGGAGTAGTGTTTAACTTTTGAAGTACTACTGCCATTATTATCATTATTTGTAAATGTCTCTCTCCTTATCCTGTTAGTGGTAGATATTTTTTTCTTCATTCTTTTAGGTTCCGAGTGGAATATAGGCCTTCAAGATATAAGTTTTGATTTTTCAGTAACGCTGGTGTTGTTTCCTTTTTAAGGGACGCGGTTGCCAGCCTATCGCTCGACTTCCCCTGTTTTCTAGGCTTACTGCTGACTAGGTGAGGTTCAGGAATGTGTTGGGACGGCAGTCGAACCCTGGGCCAAATGTTTGGCTGGCTGTTATTTGATTTGTAGACAGATAAACAATGGATTATCCTTTATTTTTTTTATTTTGATTACAGCTTGATGCCACACCGTATTTTCGGTACAAGTATGGAATTCTCAGCATGCGATATCGGTAGCCTAAATTTTGCAGGCCGACCACAGATATCGAGTGTGCGTCGGCAGGGGATCGAACCCCGGACCATCTGCATGGTCGGCGGGAGTCCTAACCACTGTGCCACCGACGCATGGTGATCAAGGTCAGTCTGGAAATAAACCAATCAAAATTGGCCTAAATAAAATTAGGCCTACAATTTTATTGAGCATGATTATAGACTAATTGACATATCCTTGGTGGTTTTTTGAATCATACATATTATTATGTAAAATGTACTTTGGATGATACCTCGGCTCATGTCGTTCTCGCTTAAGTAGAGCGGGCTAGGGAATAAGCAGTTGTTGTATAGTGTTATTGGTGTAGTCAAATGGTGTTCGTGACCACTGTGTATATGTTCAACTCGTGCTGTTGCGAATGGTGATATCATAAGAGTATTCTACCACCTAGAAGGAATCCAGTGGCCAATTAGTTTTACCTTCTGCCAATTCACCACCGCCAGCCATTGTCATCGGTGAGTCAACATCCCTACACCCAACATGGTAAACACTGCCAGTCACAGCTTCCCACTAGGACTTCAGCTTTTAGTGAGCGTTATATTGATTTTCAAATGTTGGTAGTCAGCGATTTGATTGATTTCAAGATTAACAATCAAGTGACTTCAATTACAGCTTGATTCGTGGTGGGATCATGGGTGCATACCGCTGAAGAGTCCCCAAACAAGGACAAGACAACTGTTTAGTACTCTGTTTCTCTCTCAGGTTTTCAATGGTTTTCTAACTGAAGTTAGTTCATGATCAAACTTGAGGTTAGCCAAACCCTTGCAAACCAAAACTTGAAAATACAAAAGTGTTTTAAAACTAGAATTGATTTTATTCAGTGAAATAATGTCTATATATACAACTGTATACTATTGGTTTACATTCATTCATTCAGTCATATTGCTTAGACTAAGGATATTTCAAGTGGTTATTGTTATCGTTGAATTTTTTCATCATCTATGCATATTTTTGTTTATTAACCCAAGTATAGTCTTAAATTTCATCCATCTTCCTCCTATAACTAAAGACAGAGAAAGTGTGTGTATAAGGAAACAATAATAATCTCTTTCACTTCTTTGCATTTTACATTAAAACCTTAAAAATATAAAATGTGAACAAGGTAAACAAACACACGAACACACATGTTGTACATGCATGTATGCTTAAAAAGAGGAACACAAAAAGGAATACACATACTCACACGTGCATATAAACAGGAAGGAGAAATCAACGAACGAAGGAACAATTACACGTATAAGCTGACTGACGAACTAACTAACTAACTATCTAACTAGCTAACAATTATGCATATAAATGTGATGTCTATGTTTGTAACACTGAACAAAGTAACATTACACAATATGTCGTATTAGGTAGAACAACATGCATAGCATCCACAGTGATGGAAACGGTAACAAGATCACATCTGATGATGAAGTATTAAAGACAAGGGAAAAAAAAGAAATAAGGGTAGAAAAAGAACTTAGTTATGCATATGTGTATTCATAGCCTACAATAAAGAAACACTGAATTCATTTTGTAGATAATATTACTCCTTCGTTAGCCAGATGTATAAAGGTTTGAAAATTATTACCATAACAATAATAAGAAGAATAATAAGATATGAGAAATAATTCAGTTAGTGTTAGTGTCCATATTTTCACTTTGTATGTGTTAATCCACCTATTGAAGGAAGACAAGGTCATAGGAAAACATTTTATGGAGGAGGTAGAGAGTAGAAGTCATTCATTTACCAATAAGATTTGTCATTATATATATCATCGGTTTAGGCTAATTGCATACGATTTGGGATAAATTGCTGAATTATTTAAGCTAATTTCTTTTCCTACAGAATTTGTATTGATGTACTTTAACGAATTATGATCGATGTGAGAGCAGCAGAATAAAATAATAAACTCTATTTTCTACTAATTCGTGATACATATAGCGCGATTGTGGGTAATCTTGTAGGTGAGCATCTATCCTCATGCCCAACTCAATGGACCCTGATGGTCACTACTTCTCACCAGAACTTCAAACACTGTCATCCAGTCACTATTGAGAGAAGTTAGAATTCATGGGTCATTTGGATTCCGTCTCTTAATAACTGAGTGGTTAACAAAACCTCTACTTATAACATGAAGGTTCTGGTTTCTATCCCTGGCGGTGGGGTCATGGATGTGTACTGTTAACGAGTTCCAAACATGGATCAAAACGTCATCCAATACTCCCTAGTTAGAAGGGTTCTGTAACTGTGGTCACTTCGCGATCAAACTTGGAATCAGTGAAATCACTTTAAATCAATATTTGAAAATAATAACGACTAATTTATTAACTTTCATGAATGAATTTAGTGGTTCATTTTATCTCATCACAGATATGATGAGAATAGTAGGCTTGCAGATAAATCGAGCTATGACACTTCAACTAAATAAAAAGTATATTTTTTGCGATGCATGTCAACTAAGAACAGTTTCACCTATCATTTTGATAAGATTTATCAGTAGTATATGAAGAGATGCTTATCGTCATAAAAACGTCAAATAACAGGGAGATAAATTTGATGTCAGAGAAAGCAAATAATACAGCATTGTGGAAATACATGGGAGACATGAAAGGAACATAAAGAAACACAATATGAAGGCGAGAAGGAGCACAACACGGAAGATCTCTGTAAATGTTGTGCTGAAGATAAGGTATACATAATTTGGCTAATATACAGATACGAAATTGCAAAATAAAGATTTCTCTAGCAAATCTTTCGTCTTCTACCGTTACAATCTGGCCATCTAGATGATTACGTCACCTATCCAAAAATAAGTCAATCCTCTTCATACTTTTTGCTACTAGAATGATTATATTAAAAGGAAAGGATTTTATAGATCACTTATCACTCTTCTACAATGTTGACATTAGTGTTGAAGTAAACAATGATACCATAATTAAAAATTCACGAATGAAGATATCTTCACTACTGATTCCTATCTATTAAAAATCGTTATGTTCAGCTGTATTACAGGTATTCGATCTGAATCTGTGCAACACAATTGAGTAGTAACAGTAAAAAATTTCTTCTGTAACAGGCGAATAGATATATATCCTGCAAGTAAATTCGACCTGCTGTGGAGTAAAAGTTACTAAAAGGATCTTGTTAACTGTAATAGACTATATTTTACCAAGTATTGTAACATTCAACAATTAAAGCCTCACATCTATTGTAGTGGGTTTTTTCTATTTCTATTCTATATTATTATAGCTTGATTCCACACAGTATTTTGGTACAAGTATGAAATTTTCAGCATGTGATATCGGTAGCCCAAATTTAGCAGGCCGACCATAGATATCAGGTGTGCGTCGGCAGGAGATCGAACCTCGGACCATGTGCATGGTCGGCGAGAGTCCTAACCGCTGTGCCACCGACGCATCTAAACATACTAATAGAAGAACACCAAAACTTAACAGAAATGTCATTCGATATTAGATAGTTGGAGGCAATCGGCAGGAAGCCTTCGACCTAGGTTTCGTGCTAGTTGGCACTGATCAGCAAGGCGTATCTGCAACTTTGAAGGAACAGCTCATGTCCCTTCTGAGATTCAAACCCGCGTCACCCAGTGCTGCAGTCAGAGACCTTAACACTGAGATATTCGGGCTCGCGATTGACCTCCTGTAGGACTGTAGTGGGTATTTTGATTGGACACTATTAACTAGTGTGACGTATCTATTCCTTCTTTGGTGCAGACTGAATTCTATCAGTCTGGTATTTGCAATGTGGCCACCATTCTGACTGATGGAATTCAGTCTGCACCAAAGAAGGACTAGATACGTCACACTAATTACTAGTGTCCAATCAAAAAGAAATGTCATTCGCCTATTTTACATCTTCAAATTGCGTTTCAAAAGGGAATCAAACCAATGTTTCCAAGTACTTTATATTGAGATCATTTTACGATACAGTAGTTAGCGTGACAATTACAGTGATAATAGTCAAATTAACAAGTCTTTGACTATAGTAGGTGCCATATAATACTGACTGATTGGAATGAGTAGTTGTATACCCACTCATATGAACCTCGTTCGGGGCCAAGGTCATCAGCCGTGTACCCAGTTTGACTCAGCTCACAGAGCCGAATCAGTTCCGGCCACCTGAAATCTTGCTAGCCACTTCGGCAAACTGGTATTACCTTAC